CTTACTGTACAGGAGCTTGACAAGACACAGTCGTTGGTTGTTTCACTTTACATGCACCGGCACCCCCATGTTCAGCCGACGTCTTGTGCTGTATGCAGCCGGAGAGTATGGACGCTTTCTCGTATCAAGAAGTAGTTCTTCCCGGCCAAATCCTTGCATCAGTCCTCAAGGACGCTCTGTTTGCTGCATTGATCAAGCTCCGCACGCAGTACATGATGGTAGGCAATCCCCGGTTAGTTGGTAGATGCTGTTAGGAATCGTAGGATGCTGATTGCTAGCCTTCATATTGTTGCTGCGGTTAGTTGGATACATTTTGCCGACCCAATCTTTGTAGGCTGTTGCTCTTATGGAGTTGCTTGCTCAGGAACTGCGGCAGGTCAAGGCCGCTGGCCACGACCCAACTCTAGTCATATCCTCCAACAAATTCTTTGACGCTGCCACGGAGCGATGCGCTTCTGAAATTGGCCACAAGATCAACTACTTCATGGCCACTGGTAACATTCGGACGACTCAGCTTGACCTCCAGCAGGTAGGCTGCAATACGTTTTAGTGGTCTCGCCTTGTAACGGCTTGTGGAACTCACCTTCCTGCCACTGTTGAGGCGCGGCTGGGTTTGAGTGTGCGTGGGCATTTCACTGCCTTCTTACAGCTGTCAGGATGGACTGTGACAGCGGACCGCCTGAACCTAAACCGTTTTCTTAGTCACTTTCGAGCAGTGCATCGAGGCCAGTTCTTTGCGCAAATGAAAACCACTGCTGTAAGTACACTTCCGCTCCCAACATGCATTCCTGTTATGGCTTGACATCACTTATACACTCCATCTGCTTGCGTACGTTGTGCGAACCCATGCTCTGTCCAGATCAATAACCCTAGATCCACTGTTTTGCTGATTATTTGGACAGGTTCGCAAGCTTTTGGGAGAAAGTTGGGGCTTTCTGTGTCCCGTCCACACGCCTGACGGTGCCCCCTGCGGGCTTTTATTGCATTTGTCCCAATTCGCTCAGCCAGTAGCAGTTCCGCCTGATAGGGGGGTGAGACAGAAACGCCTAGTAGAGATGGCCCACGGTGTTAGCGGAACAAACCTATTGACCGTTGTAGACCAACGCATCCTCCAGGTTGATTTCTGAGCTGACAAAGTTGCCTTGGTAGATCATGCCAGTGTTGTTTGACTGTCTTTTACAAAACCCGTGGCTTGACGCGTCGGCGGAAGTCGTTACGGCCGCAACCACCCTGTTGCGCTTTGACGGTTGCAGGCAGTTGCAGCTGTACGACTGTTCATGAAGCTCCGGGGGGCATGCGTAGACCTTGAAGGTGTGTCAGGATTGCCTCCTTCGGACCTTGGGGCCTCTGCAGGGGGAGAGGCTCTCGGTCAGGTTGGCCGGGGAAGCGTGAAATGCATCCCGCTCGTTGTTGACGGGGTAGTTGTGTGTAAGATACCGAAGGCCGAATTTAAATTTTGGTTCGATCAATTGCGTCACGCAAAAGGATGTGGATTAGAAGGATTCAAAACTCACTGGGAGCTGGTTGGATTTGATGAGGGGAGGTAGGCGTGACTGCATCTTAGGAATGCATCTCTTTCCTATTGGGAAATGACGTGGGTTCCGTAGAAGGGGTGTTCTGGTGAAAGGAGTGTACGAACATCACTTGTGCCGCTTTCGTGTCACGGGCTTGTTTTGCTCAGCAATCAGTTTGAAGGCATTTTTATGTTTACAATGCCCGGCAGGCTCGTTCGGCCAGTTAAGCATTTGGCTAGTGGACGGTAAGAGGCATGAGAGTATCAGGCAAGTAGACAAAGGTGTAGCGTTCAGCACTCACCCACCGCATTTGATGCAAAACCTGCCTTTTTTGAGCAGCCTTGAATTCATTGGGCCTCTACAACAGCCGTGGATGTCTATCGCATGCCGTGACCGGAATGTGGCGATCAACGAGCGTTCAATGAGGGCACATCTCCCCATTATTGAAGAATTACTGAGAGACCAATGTATAGGAGGGAATAAAGCAGAGGTGAGCAGTAGATCTTCCTGAAGTTCCTTCGGAAAGCAGCGGCACTTTCTCGAGTGCGCACCAACAGATTCCAGAAGCGATGTTTTGCCTGAACCTGCACAATTTAAATAGGCACCATGCTGCATTTGGTGAAACTGTTGCACCAGCTCTTGGTCATTGTGTGAGCGCGTAGGCAGCCCTGAATCACAGTAATCTGGAGAGGCTGGAGAACTCCTATCAAGCATTGATTGATGAAGAGAGCAATATGCCAAGGCATATGAGTGATCCCAAAACTCTGGGTAGCGTAAAGGAAGCTCGGGAAGCCCTGTCAATCAGCCATGTTCCGCTGCATTACGACTACGTCGAGCTGAGCCCAACCGCTTTCCTTAGCGTCACGGCGGCGCTTACCCCATTCAGTAATCACAACCAAAGTCCAAGGTATTCCAACGGCGAAGGGATTGGTTCAGCTGATAGTGTGCTAATGGGGCTTGCGTTCGCACACTAGGATGCTCCGGCTTTCCGCAGGCATATACTATTCACCGTGACTAGCCATACTCCAACTATTTTTGTCGAGTGTAGTCTGTGATTTGCTTTTCTGCAGGAACATATATCAGTGCCAAATGCTTAAACAAACCATGGGCACACCGTTCCATGCGATACCATTTAGGCATGACAACAAAGCTTACCGCCTTATAACGCCGCAGAAACCTCTTTTACGGACGCGAGATTACCGGCAAATTGATTTCGATGATTATCCAACTGGAGTGAACGCAGTGGTTGCAGTCATGTGCTATACTGGGTAATTTTCCATACGTTGTACTGTCCCGTTTTAGGCATCTTAGGATGAGTTTGCATAAACAAAAATACAAAATCAGCAAAGTGATTCTCTTCGAAATTTTGCACCTTCATGCTTACACGCTTTAACATGAAAACCGACATGGGGTTCCCGGACGTTCTTGTTTGCAGCTTTGACATGGAAGATGCCATGATTCTCAACAAGTCATCTGTGGAACGCGGCTTGTTCCACGGATGTGTCTACAAAACCAAGATAATAGACGCTGCTCCAAGTGGATCGCGTGCGGTGAGTGGCTCGATGTAGTTAGGACTCGATCGATTGTGGGGTGACCGAGTGAGTTTGCGCTTGGCGGGGATCTTGAAATACCTTGCGCTGCAAAATGGCGTAAAGCTGACACCTTCCTTGAACAGTCAACCGTTACAAAAGGCACATATTTTCACAAGCTCTTCGGTAACAGGCTGCGGCGCCTTGTGTTGCTACAGCAAGATGCTGAGGAGTACCAGTTTACGAATACCAGCAAACTTGGCCGCAAGTGCATCCCATCGCTTGACGCGGACGGCTTCCCAGCCATCGGTGCAAAGGTCACTCAGGGGAAGACCCTTTGCAGGTACCTGCTGGGCGTATAAGGTGGTTTGTAGTCCTGTTTTTGACTGGCGACCTCTGGCACAAGTTCCCAAATTTTTAAAGCGCAACTTCAGTCATAGAGTTGTTGTTATCTGCGGGTTTTCCAGATCACAGAGGCACACTCACTCAACGGCTATTCAGGCCCCTGCGCAACAGACATTCTACAAGGATGACGAGCCAGCTTATGTGGATGGCGTGACGCTCACTTCGGCGCCTGCGCCTGCAGAAGAACGGGTCCTAAAGACAGGCCTGAGGGGCTGCAGAGCCTCTCTGCGCCTCCGCAGTGTTCGGAAGCCTATCATCGGCGACAAGTTCGCGTCACGGCATGGGCAAAAAGGCATTTTGTCCATGCTTTGGCCTCACGAGGACATGCCTTTTTCAGTATGGCTGATTAACCATTCATTCTAGGAGCAGCGTGACGCTACATTCACTCGTTATGCTGGGGCGTCTGTCGCGGTGTAGAGTTCTCATGCACTGTTCTTTCTGTCTGGCCCTCATCAGGAGTCTGGATTAGTACCCGATATCCTGTTTAATCCACACGGCTTTCCAAGTAGAATGACGATTGGAATGCTTATTGAGAGTATGGCTGGCAAGGCAGCGGCAGTTCATGGAGCTTTTCAGGTACTTGAACTCAATTGTGAACAGTATTTGATGACCCTACTCCCGAGTTGACTCGCAGAGATTAGTGTTCTTTCAGATGCATTTTTGTTCACATAATCCTTTTTATATACCACAGGGAACGTGGTGTGGAATGAGCAGTCATGCACATTTGCGATCGTGAAACGCTATGCAGGACGCAACAGCCTTTCGGGAGTTCAAGAAACAGCAGAAAACAGGAAACCGGTGGATCGATCAGGAAGGGCACCACGGTCAGCTATGCAGCCAGCATTAACTCTAATGTCGTGCAGACCAGTTTCACTAGCTGTTCTACAAGCGGACGACGCAAAGGCTTGGCGCTTATGTACAGGATATGTGTTGCGTGGGGAGCGTTATCGGACACCTGAAGAAGAGGCAATGGCTCAAGAGCAAGGCGATACTCCCGTAGATTACTTCGGTAAAGCGCTTTTGGCTTCAGGTGAGCCGGCGGTTGCGTGGCGCTTGCAGCAGGTCGAACAACGGGCACGAAGCGCTGCTAAGCAACGAAACAGTGAAACTCCGCTCTTATGCGCAATCCGATTCGCTCTTCCAGTTCTAAGCGTTCCTGAAAGCTGTTGCTCATGCTACGCGCACTTTTGAGACGAGATTGTGCATGATTTAGGTTACCAGTACTATGGCAGGGAAGAACTCTATAGCGGCGTTTATGGAGTACCGCTTACCTGTCACATTTTCACTGGGCTTATCTACTATCAGCGACTGAGACATATGGTAAGTAAAGTAATTTTGGGTTAGGCAACCTGGGTAGTTATAGGTATTCGCATTGAACGAGGACTTCGCTTTGCTGCATGCACGAATGGGCTTTGCTGTCTCGGCGCCTGCGTCCTTGCTGCGTAGGTGACGGACAAGGCTCAAGTACGTGCGACCGGCCCTATCGACTCGTTAACTCATCAACCTGTAAAGGGACGCAAACGCCATGGAGGTGTCCGCTTTGGGGAGATGGAGCGGGATGCCCTTATTGCTCATGGCGCCGCTGCACTCTTACAAGACCGACTCTTGCACGTGCGTATCTGTTTGTTCTCCCCTACTGTTGTTGCGTTTCCCTGTACCTTTGGTCCTGTCTTATTCAGTCGCTGCATGTGTGTGGTTTGTGGTTCTGCAGTGTTCGGATGGGCACCGTGCGTTTTGCTGCCCTAGCTGTGGCAGCATCCTGTCCCCCGCTCAGTCGCCACATCTCAAGGGGCGCTCCGTTGGCGGGAAGAGGCCGGTGCCTCTATGCCGCATTTGCGCTGTGCCATGCCGGCTTGTGCAATTGCCATACATATTCCGGTGGGAAGCATTGTTTACATGGCTACTGTTTGCACCTTCACTTTTTTATCGCCCGGCAGCGCTTGATGCGTTGGTTGAATAGCACGTCTTCTGTGCCTCCGGTACAGGTACTTGTCGAATGAGTTGGCATCGATGAATGTGACAGTTCGACTAGAACTTGACCACTTGGGATTCCCCGTCAAGCGTGATCTTGAAGTTCATCCGAAACAACTACAGGATGGGACGATTGGGAGGTCTGGATACGCTGGAGCTGGGACCGACCAAGTTCCATTTCCAAGTAGACAAGAGCCCCGACGAGCGCGTGGAAACGCAGGCTGATGGCGCAATGCCCACACCAGGTGCTGTAGTTAACTTCATAGGTGCTTGGCTGTAACGTTGTGAAGTTTACCACAGACCCTGTGTGTTTACTCTTTTCACTTGTAGGCTGTTGCGAGTCTGCAAATTGTTTTGCTCACGGCGCACTGTCCCCTTTAAAGCCCACAGATCGGAGAGCGGACAATGTGCTGCATTGGCTGCCTGCGTTTTATTAAGTTGAATGAGTGAAAGCACCCTTGCCTCTTGCCAGATTGCTAAAGGCGGAAGCTGTTTGTATGTGGGGTCTCGTAAATTCACAAGGTACAAGTTTGTGGCTGATCAGCCTCGTTGCTGATGCTTTATTTATTGCTGCCGATGCTAGGTTCAATGATTGACAGTCTTTTTCACTCTGGCAAAAGTAGTGCAGGAACGGATCACTCTTTTGAAGCGTTGTGGGAGGTAAATATATTTGTACGGTGCA